ACTGATGCAGCCTGTGCTTCCTGCTGCTCTATGCCAATGCCAGGGCAGCTTTGCCTAGGGAGTCGTAGTCATCTGTTACTCAAACAAGTGATGCAAATAACTTTTCTTTAGAAATGTGGTGAAAGAGAAGAACCAAAGTGTTGGTGATTCATTTCCAGGTCATCTTTGCTTGGTCTGTTTGCTCTGGTAAGTGTGTGTTCTCATGGCCATTGAATTCCTGTGCCTCCCTTGTGTTTGTCACCCTACAGCTGAGATGGGCTCAGCTCACTTGGTTAGGTGATGGGTGGTGGGTGAAGCAGACTGTGCTTTGGAAAGTCCTGTAGTCAGCCTTGGTGCTTGGTAGAGCACAGTAACTTCTTAACTTACTTTGGTGCAAATATCCAGGAGAGCATCTGGGCACGCCGTCCCTCTCCCACGCTGCTGCTCTGCATCCCTGACTGCTGCACAGGGTCAGTGCTTGAGCTAATGGGGCTCTGCAGAAATGCTTGCCTGCTCCTACAAACCACCTTGCTTGCTCCTACAAACCACCTTCCCTACTACACTGTGTGTGTGCAGCAGTAAATCACTTGCTCACCTGCATGGTGGTTCTAACAGGGAAGCTTAACCTTGATTTACTACCTGGGCATCAGGTGAAACAGCTCTGGCTCTGCACCTCCAAGGTCGAACTCCCAGCTGAGCAGGCAGTCTGTGAGCCCCCTGTAAGTGTGGCAGTGCCACAGAGGTGACAAGTGTTCAGCTTTCCCACCTGGTGTTTTCTTCCTGCCCTGTCCCTGTGACTTCTCCATGCAGTCGTTCCTTGCTGGGATGCTGGCAGAGTCTGTGCCATGGGACTTTGTGTGTGTCACAGCATCTGCTCTGAAGTGGGGAGCTCCTTGTTTGACCTGCTGGCAGAAGGGAGCAGGAGGGTAAGAGCTCTGCAGAGCCTGGGCTGCCTTTCATATGTTGACAGGGATCTGTTTTGAGCAGGGTTGGGCGCTGCCATCCTGCACACTGCAGTGGTGGTGGTCCCCGATGCCCTTAGGATGTTTGGCAAGGATTGGCTGCAGGCAGATACAAAACTCTCCTTTTTGCAGGAAACCTGACTTCTTTAACAAATCACACTTTCTAAGAGAAGACCTGCCTCAGAGGGCCTCCAGTTGTGCATCTCTGTGTTTAGTTGAAGAACTTGCATTTACTGAATCAGAGGGTGGTTCAGTGGAGATCTTAGAATCAGAATGGGTTGGGCTGGAAGGGACCTTAGAGGTCATCTAGTTCTACTCCCTGCCATGGGCAGGAACACCTTCCACTATCCCAGGTTGCCTCCAAGCTGTGTCCATCCTGGCCTGGGACACTTCCAGGGATCCAGGGACAGCCACAGCTGCTCTGGACACCCTGTGCCAGGGCCTCAGCACCCTCACAGGGAAGAATTTCTTCCTTATGTATTCCATATGGCCAAACTTGCCTTTCTCCAGCTGAGCATTCACACAACATGCAATATGTAAAACACAAGCTTCTTGAGTGCTAAAAATCTCAAATGCATTCCTGCCATGAGCCAGATGATACTGTAAAATTTTGGATTACAGTTGCTAAATGTAGGACTTGGTTTGAAGATGAAAAAAATGTCAGACTCACTATGCTTCACCATGTATTTCATCTAATGATGTATCTGGGATGTTTGGGGAGCTTTGGATTGGATTTTCCTTTCAGAAGAAGCCTTGCTGTTAGAGCACAGATTGCACATGAACAACCACAGCAGCGCTGCTGCCACCTATTTTCACCAGTAGATCTTAAAAATATATGTATTTGAGGAGTGTTGGGTTTGGTGGGGTTAGAACTGCGGAGGTGAGTTCTGTGGCGCTGTTTTCAGAAGAGTGAGGTTTATTTTTGCAGTTCTATTTCTTTTTCAGTTGAATTTGGACAGGGGAGCCCATGTGAGACACTCGGGGCTGACAGCCCTTGCTTATGTCAGAAGGGCATTGTTGGGGAGCTGCTGCTGGCAGAAGTTGGATGCCGTGAGTTTACAGGCTCGGTTTTGACGCAGAGTCCTCAATAGAATGCAAGTGGACATTCCTTTAAATGCCCTGTCTAAAACCCATCATTCACTGGGCTTTTGTGCCAGAGTAGAGGCCCGAGCAGCCTGAGTGCTGCTGTAGCCCTCTGAGTACAGCTGTGGGCACTCCAGACTATTTTCAGAGGCATGGATATGTAGAGCAATTGCGTGCTCTTGGGAGACTGCTCGAGGCCTTGGCTGGAGATGCATTGAAAGGAGGCATCTTGTCCTGTAGAAACAAGGACATGATTTGTTTCCCGTTGAACAAAAGGTCTTCTTAAAATCTGAAGCCTGAGGTTTACCCTGCTGGTGGTAGGAGAGCTGTTTTGCAGTCATGCAAATGGATGGAAAGGACTTTGAAAAACCCCTGAAAATCCTTGTAAAAGTTTTAACTTCTCTTTGACTCTGCTCCATGCTTTTTCTGCCGTGCCTTATGCAAGAAGCCTTAGTTCCAGCCTTCAGGACGAGCCTGGGTACATTCCTTGGCCTGAATGTCCCTCCAAAGTCCTGCCAAGGAGGAGGGCCTGGTGTGTTTGAGATGTGCCTCTCTTGTGCAGGAGAACAGGAATGTCGAGCGGTGCCTCGTGCCAGGTGGCTCGGGGCAGCCCTGTGTCCCTCATGGGCACCGTGTGCAGGGCTGCTCTCCTGAGAACCCACAGCTTGACCTGGCTGCCTCTCCCCTTGGCTGCTCAGTCCCCAAATAGCACACAGGGCCCTGGGCAGCCTTTGATAGTCTTTCCTCCTAATGTGTTCCTCTCTTAGTAAAGGCTGTAGTTAGATCCTTTGCTGGGCCAGAGCAGGGACAAAGGGACATCCTTCCTCCCTGGCCTGTTTGTTGAGCTGGGGGCTGGCTTGCATAGGGCTGCCTGTGGTGCCCAGCAGACCCCAATGACCTTCAGGTGAGGGATTAGTGGGCTGGGATGCTCCAGCTTGCATTTGGAAGCATTATAATTGCCTTTTAAGAGCTATTCCGTAGCAAGGTTCATGGCTGAGGGGAGAGCTGCATGCGCAATGATCCTGTACATCTGGACACAAGCAGGTTTGCACAGCACCAGCCTTGATGTAGGTGCACAAAGGAAAACCTGGATGGTGAGGGAAGGCACTCAGTGTTCAGCCAGACACAGCAGAGGCAGATGCTGTTCCTGTGAGCCAAATCAGTTACAGCTTTCAGCCCAGCACTGGAATCAGCTCTTGCATCTTTGACCTCAAGTAACAGAATGAAAAAGGAAACTGATTTCCTGGTTTCCCTTTTCTAGCTGAGAGTCCTGCTGTAAGGGACCTTGACTAATAGTTTCACATGTCATTCAGCTCAAAGTGGTGCTCTGGCTGTGATGGGAAAAGGAGAGGAAAATGCTGGGATGTCAAGGCTGAGCCACCTGCCTTGGACCCTGGTTCACATTCCCATGCTTTGCTTTAGCTTTGTATTCTTGTGTCTCTCCCCTGTGCTCTTAGAAGGGGCCAAACCTGCATAAAATATCAAGCAGGGAATCACCCTTCCAGCAAGCCAGTGGTGGGAAGATTCCCTGTGGTGTGTCAATGCAGGTATCCATGGTCCCAATTGCTGCAGAGCACCGTGGAAGCCAGGAGTGTAACTGGGTATCAAGAGGGATAAGGCAGCTGTGTAAGCAGCAGATCCACAAATGACAATCCAGGTGTAGCCACCAATTTTGGAACCCCTGTTCTACATGGGGCAGGAGCAGAGCTTGTATCAGTGAGGCTCTCCCAGCTCTTGTGGTTTCTCCACCAGGGCCATGTCTGCTATTGGAGCATGTGGTCACTGTTGTGCTGGCACTGAATGGCATGATTTACAGCATTACTTGGGAAATTAGGGTGTTGCTTTATGCATTTCTGCATCCCAGAAGCCTTCCTGCTGTTTGTGTTGCTGGGAGAAGTGGTTGGTTTTTGCTGGAATTCCATACTTAGTTTTGGAGTGCTCTGTTTGATGTGTTGAAGAGGTGAAGTTTCCGTTTCAGAGCTAAGCAGAGCCTGGCTGCAATCCTGAGGGAGCACGTGGCATGGAGGTGCTTCCTGGCCTCTCCCCAGCACCAGTGATGCTCTTCATTTGGCTGCACACACTAAGGGGACACTTTTCCAGAAGCACTGGCAGCTGAGAGTGATGTGATCCCCCATTCATTTATGGATCACTGAAGTTTCTGTGCTGGCTGCCTTGGAGAGACCTGGAAAAGTGTCTGTGTCCTTCCAGAGTGTAGGAGACTGCTGTTTCTCCTCTGTGAAGGCACGTCAAATTCTTTATTAATCTCCTGATACTTTGGGAGTGCCACCTGATTTGCATGGCTGAAGTGCTGAGTCACATTAAAATTAGCTGGTTTTTACTTCAGTAGCAAGTCATTTCCCTGGGGATGTGACATTCCTGTCCCTTGGCTCTTCTTCCCATCTGAGTCTGGGCTGCAGGAGCTTGGAGTTGGTTCACAGAGGAGCACAGGGAGAATAAGGAAGAGCAGGCATGACACTGGACAAACATACATGGGTGTATTTATATATGACCTTGGAAAACAAGACAGGCCTTGGCATCCCATCAGAGCCCATCAGATGTCAGGTATTTGGGGGCTGGCTGTTGCTGCACGCTGGGCCATTTTTCATGCTGAGCTATCTGCAGGCATGAGCACCCAGGAGAGAGGGAGCCATGCCATAAATCCCAGAGTGCTCCTCAGCCTGTGCACTCTTAGCTTTGGTTCGTTGTTGAGCTTTGGACTCTTCTTGCCTCTCTGAAAGTACCAGTATTTCTATTTCACACATTCGGTTGCTTTCAGCAGTGATCTACACAGGGCTGGCCACTTTGGACTTAATTTTCCTACTAATAGAGAACTTTAGTCCAGAATTGGATTTCTGGAGTTTGGTTACTCTGTGCTTGGAAGGGCAGGTGAGGACATGTTTGTTGGCCAGAGCAGTTTTCAGTGTCACTCTTACCTTGTACTGCTGCACAGTAACAAAGATTATCTTGCTTTTCCAGGGAAGGGAATGAACCTGGGGATTCCACGAAGATCACCTACCGTGAGCTGCTGCACAAAGTTTGCCAGTTTGCCAATGTCCTCCACAGCCAAGGTACACAGCTGGGGCAGCAGGAGCACTGGATGCTGGGGAGGCATTTGGCCAAGGGTTTGGAGATTGGGGTCACTGCTTGTGTGGTTGCCAGTCTGTTGAGTAATTCTCACCAATTTGTTCTGCAATGTACAGGTTCATTCCTGGCTCTGTCTGTGAAAACTGATCAGTGCTGGTCATATCAGCTGTACAAGGAAGAAACCAGTGCTTAATGATGCTCTGGGGTTTTCCAACAAGCAGTGGGCTCTGGCTACTTTCCTGCTTCCTTCAGGGAGGCAGATGAGAACATGGATTGTTAGTCATCATCTCTCAAGAGCCATAGTGCTTGAAAGGCAAAACCCATGGCTGCTTCGGCCCTAGTTGCAGCTGAACCTTTATTGTGTGCATATAAATGTGGAACTAAAAGAATTGATTTATTTCTATATCCTGTTCTTTTGGCATGTAACCTGTTCATTTTGATAAATGCTATGTTCACTTTCCCTCCACAGGGGTGAAGAAAGGAGACCGGGTTTCCATCTACCTGCCAATGATCCTGGAGCTGGTCGTAGCCATGCTTGCCTGTGCCAGGATTGGAGCTCTGCACTCTGTTGTGGTAGGAACAAGCTCTTTATGCTGCTCTTGGTGCTGAGCTCTGAGGGGAGCAGCTCTTGGTTTTGGGAGAGGAGCTGGAAAGCTGAGTGCTGGCCATGAGATGGATGGAAGCTCAATTAAGATGCTGCTGTTTGCCTGCATTAACTGTGCGATGAGCTCCTGTAGCTCTCTCCATCAGTGCCTGGTGATGAATCATTTGCCTTGGGTGAACAGCACAGCAGCTGGGGGGTGTGGGGCTGGGTTTCTGTGTGTCCTTGCTGACTCTGCTGTGTGCTCTCTGGCAGTTCGCAGGCTTCTCTGCAGACTCCCTGTGCGAGCGGATCCTTGACTGCGGTTGCTCTCTCCTCATCACGGCAGGTAAGACACACATCTGAGCAACTCTCTTCCTGTTGTCTGGCTGAAAGGTCTTTATTTTAAAAGCCTGGAAGTGGAAGAGAGAGGGTCAGTGCCTCAGCCGAGCCTCCCAAAGTGGGTGCAGTGCTGTAGCTGTGCCCAAATGCTGCTTCCCACTCCATACATGTGGTGAAGCCTCTGAGCAGCCCCTCAGTTTGTTCTGTAAAGCTGCTAATAGAATGTTTCCAAACACTTCTCATCCATGTTTCTCCTGAAAATCAGCCAGATGTTTGCAAGATGTGTCATGAAGGAGGCCTAATGTAAGAATTCCCACCCTTCCCAGTTTTAAGGACATTTCTGCTGCAGCTCCTGGCCTTGTAAAGCAAAGGATCAAGAGTGTGGCAGTAGTTGCATGTAAGCCCACTGCATCTCCCCAGCCGTTTTTTCCAGAAGTGCAAGAAATAATGTTTTTATTAATTCCCATGGCATGAAAAGGACACACTAAACTGCAGTCTGTGTTCTGGATGCATTGGATTATTTTCCACAGAGTATTCCCAAGAGATTTGCCAGGTCAAACTGGGACCTCTCCCAGAGAAGGAATTTCACCGTGTCTTTTGGCATCTGTTTCTCTGGGCTAAAAGGGTGCATTAGGAGAGCTTTCCCATCAGCTGTTTGTCTGCTTCCCCTCACTCCAGTGCATGAGTCTGTTCTGCCCTCCTGAAACTGCGTGTTGCTCCAGCTGTCCCAGGCTGCCTTGGCTGGGAAGCTCCTCTGATGTTTCCCTCACTGTTTTGCAGATGGCTTTTATCGAGGGGACAAACTGGTCAACTTGAAGCAGATTGCAGATGAAGCCACCCGGAAATGTATAGAGAAGTAAGTTTGGATTCCCTTCTAGAAAAGGGCATTGCTGCCAGAATCTGCTCCTGCACAAGTGGGAGTTGTCATAGGTGGGCAGACTCTGCAGCAGGTCTGACACAAACAGCCATCAGATGTTACAGAAAGGGAAATAATCCTGCTGAAATGGCTTTGCCAAGCTTACAGACACAGCATCTGTGTAGCTTGTGTGAGACTGAACGTGGGTTTGTGTGTTAGATCAAACATGGAAATTCAGGGCAGATAGTCTGCACATTAGAAATTCAAACTCTTTAAGAAAACATAAGTCTTTATGTCTGTAAAAATAGGTACCTGGGAGGACAGAAGTGATCCTGAAGCTGGGAATTAACTGGTGGAGACTGTGTTGATACTCTGAAGGGAAATAAGATAATTCTGTCAGTGTTCTGTAGGCTGTCTTTTCCCTCATAAGGGGGCAAACACCTACACCTTTCCTTGATGTGTAATCAGGCTTTGGAAGCTTTTCCTCCCTCTGAGACAGTCAGTCCTGCCTAGGGGCTGGAGCAGCCACTAACATCTCCTGGTAGGAGGGCTTGTTCCTGGTCATAGGCAGGCAAATTTGGGATTTGTAAGGAATCTCCACAGCAGTGTCCTGGGAGAGAGACTTGTGGAACCCCCAGTTTGTCCCAGAAATCACACCTGGTAAATCCCCAGTAAGCTGTGCACAGACTGTTCCTGCTCTCTGAGCTGCTCCTGTGGCTGGTGTCCTTGGAAGTACCTGGAGTTTGCATGGCAGCAAATGCTCCAGCTCAACAAAAGGAGCTCCAGGCCCCTTCCCTGCCTCCAGTGCTGCCTGTGAATCCCAGGAAGGGCTGGCTCAGCCCCTGAGCAGCCCAGTGTGACAGCTCCTGCCTTTTACAGGGGATCCTCTTTGAAAAAGTGCATCGTGGTGAAGCACCTGGGCAGGGAAGAGATGGCAGTGGATGGGACCTGCAGCAAGTCTCCTCCTCTGAAAAGGCTGTGCCAGGAAGTGCAGGTGTGTTCCTGGTGGGATGAGAAGGGGGTTTTATTACCACAGGCCAGAGACCAGCAAATTGATCAGTGCAACACCACTGCAGTGATTCCTGAACACTCCTGTTGCTGTTTTCACCCCTCCTTGCTGACGTTGCCGTGTGAGTGTCTGACAAATGGTTCCTTTTCCTTACCAAGATCCTCTCCCTGCTGCTTCCTTTAACACCCTCACAAGCTGACAGCCCACAGGACCCCTGCGTACATCTTCCAAAGCCACTGGGGACAAGATGGCCATTTTCCTCTGCTTAGTACAAGGTTTTTCCTTCCTAACCCTTTGTCTCTCTCCCTTGTGTACAGAGACTGATGCTGTGCTCCACTGTAGCTGTGACAGTGGCAGCAGGAGAGGACACCCAGGAGATTTGTGCTCATGGTGTGAGCTCAGGGCAGCAATCCTCTGCTGAGAGCAGTGCAGGGTCTGGCAGCTGCCACAGGGACTCTGTCAGCTCTCAGGCTGGGGTTTTCCTTTGCAACTAGAGATCAAAGGATGTGGGCCAGAGGCATGTGGTGAGACAGGGGTGGAAGGAGGAGAGGGTGTCATTGAGATGTGGCTTCCTGCTGAGGCTGCTGAGCAGCCCTGCTGTGCCCAGCCCTTACCTGCTCTAGAGGTTACTTTCAGCTACCCCACAGCTCCAAGTCTTGCCACGTTGTCTTCTGTCCCTCTGTGTTGGGTGGTAATTTGCCCTGAGTTGTCCCCAGTCTGCTGCTGGCTCAGAAATGGGTTGTGTTTGGGGAGTATGTGAGCTTTAGACTCTGCTTTCAGGAGGAGTGGTCTGTGCACATCCCTGGAACAAGAAGTCCAGCAGATTCTCTACCTTTGAGTTATTTTCCCTCTTTCAGCCGTGTTAGTTTTATTGGGGTGTTGCTCTTTGTTTGACAGCCTGGCCATGTTCCTTGGCCTGCTCTGCCCTTTCTCTTGTGAGGGCAGGGTAGATGCAATGAATGGGAAAACTGGAGCAGACCAGCCTTTCTGTGTGAGGTTTCCCTGGCAGGGTGATTGCAGGGTAGCCTGTCCCTGTGCTGGTTGCAGTAGGTGAGGTGAAATTTTTGTGCAGAATGTCCTGGTGGGAGGCTGGAGGGTGTCTCTTAGCCTTTGGCTCTCTTTACTCTACTTGTTTCCATACTTTATTAAGGATTCTTTCCCTTGTGGATGCATTTTTACTGTGCCATTGGCTTGTGTGAGGTTATTGGATGGTCTGTGGGCTGTGTGCTGGCTCTGTGTCTCTGTTCCCAGCCAGCCATGTGCAGGGGGTGGCCTTGGGGACCTACCCTGGGGGCAGCTGGTACCCTGGGAAGGTGATGGAAATGGGCAGGCTTCTGCTCAGGGGTCATTGCCTGGCCTGGCCTGGCCCTGGATCTGAGCATTTTCCAGCCTGCCAGGGTGATGTCCAGCATCCAGGCCTGTGGGCTTCCAGCTCCCTGCCTGCAAAGCCCAGTGTGGGTACTCCCCTTCCCAGATTTCACACCCTCTTTGTGGATTTTTAACAGGAAAAAAAGACTGAAAGCTCACAGAGACTCCATCCCAAGGTATTTACACACAGCACTGCTGCCTTCTTTTTGGCACCTCCCTTCTGCTTCCCGTGCAGCTCTCCACCTCCCTTAACTGCTCTGGCTGCCCAGCCACACGTGCCCTCCTAACCGTGGTGCCAGCAGCTGCATGTCAGTGACAGACCCCACCCAGCTTGGCAGAGCTGCCCACGGCCTGGGGGTGAATGCAGTGCCACCAGTGCTTCCAGAAACAGGCCCACATGGGTGAGCCCTGGGCACAGGGAGCTGCCCGGGGACTGCAGAGCCACTGGGATGCAGTGTCAGCATCCAGGCCAGGGTTTGGCTCTCTGCCTGTCAGAAGCAGCTCTCACAATGCATTTCCCTTTGTGGGGAGGCTGGCAGGGGGCTCCTGCAGCTTCCTGGCCACAGGCAGCAAACCTGGATCTCCAGACCCAGCATGTGGACTCTGCCTCATCCCAGGAGCTGTGGCCTCTAGACCCCCAGAGCAGGCAGGCAGAGACACACAGTGCCATGGGTCTGACCTCCTCCCTGGGGCACTGGAGGCTGGGTGCTAAATCAGGGATCCTTCAAGGAGGGATGCCAGAGAAAACTTCTGGATAGCCTTGGGCTTGTTTACCTGGTGCCTTGCTGGGAGCTTGCTGGTAGAACAGAATTGTGGAAACTGCTTTGCCAGGTAAAACCAGGAGCCTGAGGGTCCATGAAAGCTTTCCAGGTGGGCTGAGTTGTGCCAAGCTGTCAAGCAGCTGGTGTCCCCTGCACCACATGTGCAGGAGCTGTGTGCTGGGCTGTGGGGTCCCAGTGCCTCCAGATGTTTCATGAACATCTTTAGGGCTGCAGAGAGTCATGGGGCTTCTTTCTGTGCACCCCAGCTGAGTGAGCTGTGGTGAGCTTGGCTTTGTGAGGAGGAAACGTGCAGGTCTCTGGGTTGGGTCCTGCACTCACAGAGATGTGAGAAGTGGAGGTCTGAGCTGAGGCTGGGCATGTTCCCTGCCCAGCTTCCTCCAGGCTTCTCTGAGGAAAGGTGAAAAGGTCAGGGGAAGTTGTCTTGTCCTGACCTGTGCCACCACCCTGGAGAGGTGGGCAGGCAGAACAACCCTCAGGGTGACCTCTGCCCATCAGCCACAGGCTTGGTAGCTCTGTCACAGTTCTGGCATCTTCAGTCAGCCAGTGCTGGAGGGCTCTGCATTGGTGCAGTCACTTCTTACCTGGGTAGTTATTACCTAAAAACCCAGAGAACAGATATTTTTGAGGGCCGGCAGGGCCAAGCAGTGTGAGCCCACAGTGCTGCTGTTCAACTTGGGTCGTGCTGCCATCAGGGTCCCCACAAGTTCTGTGGGACAGGTGGCTGTGGGACAGGTGGCTGTGCTTGCTGCTTGGCTGTGGGACTGCAGCTCGGGAGGGCAGGAGGAGCCTGGCTGTGGGAACAGCCCAGAGCAGCTGCTGCCAGCCTCTCCTGGCTGCTGCTGCCACCCACGGGGACTCATCACCATCACCTGTGGTCTGGACACTGCTTTAGACACAGTCTTGCAGCCAGACCATGTTTGAAGGTTTTCCTTGTGGCTGTGGGCTGTGAAAAGGAGCTTTGGGAGTGGGAGCTGCAGCTCTGGTGCATGGTTTGCAGCAGGCTGTGCTGTGAACATCCCCCTCAATGGCCCATGAGGGGGGCAAGGTTTGGGCTGTGCTCCTCATCCCCCCTCTCTTGTTTTTGGGCAAGCCTGTTCCCAATCTTGTGCTTTCCTCAGACCCCCTGGAACCCAGCCATGGACACGTGGTGGCATGAGCTGATGCGTGGTGCCAGCACAGAGTGTGAGCCCGAGTGGTGCGACGCCGAGGACGAGCTCTTCATCCTCTACACGAGCGGCTCCACTGGAAAACCCAAGGTGTGCTCCCAGCTCCCTGCACGGCACAGGCTGAGCCCTGGGGACCCCTCAGCTGGGGGAACTGGTGAGGGGAGAGTTGAGAGGCCCCAGCAGGAAGAGGAGCCACAGAGGTCTTAGAAAGGGGCTGTGCTTTCAGCTCAGCTGCTGTTGGAGCTCAGCAATGCTCAGCTGGGCCTGGCAGGGTGAGGCTGATGGTGGGAGCTCACCCTGACATTCCTGTGCCTTCTCCTGGCAGGGTGTGCTGCACACCGTGGGTGGGTACATGATTTTTGCTGCCACCTCCTTTAAATACGTGTTTGATTACCAAGCTGAGGATGTGTACTGGTGCACGGCCGACATCGGATGGATCACGGGCCATTCCTACCTGACCTACGGCCCCCTGGCCAACGGGGCCACCAGTGTGTTGGTGAGTGCTCTGTGCCAGGGGGTGCTTGCACTCCAGGAAAGGGGAGATGGTGGTGCTGAGCTGCATCCCTGCATTGCTCTGTGATGGTGTGCAGGGCTCTGTGAGGAAGGGTGGTGCTCTCCAGGGAGGGTACAGTGACTTCTTGGGGGAGTAGTTTGTGTGTGGCTTTTTCAAACTCCAAAAATTTTTGTAGTTTTTCAAACTACAATTTTTTTTCAAATGCTCCCCTGTTTGTTTCCAATAAAAGTACAAGCCTTGTGTACCAGTGGAGCCAGGGCTGCTCTGACTTAATGCGAAAACTCAGTCAGGGAGTGATGCTTTCCCTGCTGATGCTGATTTGACAACTTGATGTTTAACTCCTGTGCCTGTATCTCTCTTGGCAGTGTAACAGATCAGGGAGACAGAGACCTGTGCCCAGGAATCCCCAGGGAAATGCAAGCAGGAAAATCACTGTTATGTTGTGGGAGGCCTTTTGGGAGTTGGTTGGTTGTGATTCTGTCACAGTGTTTGGACCTCTTGTCTTTTGCCATGTGGGCAGGGTCAGTTGGGCTGGTGGGACTGTGTCACTGTGGTGGCCACCCAAGTGCCTGTGCTGCAAGGGAGTGTCAGGGGACATCTGCTAGGATGAGGGGGGATGACATCTGCCCAGTGAGGGGGTCCTTGACCCGGGCTGGTTTCACTGTGTGGTACCCCTATAAGGATGTGCTGGGGTCTAGCTGCTGTTTGCTCCTCCTGCTTGGGCAGGTGCTGCAGGTGGGGAGCAGTGAGGAGCAGCTGTGTCACTGCTCTGTCTCCTGCTCAGTTTGAAGGCGTCCCCACCTACCCAGATGTTGGCAGAATGTGGAGCCTCATTGACAAGTACAAGGTGACCAAGTTCTACACAGCACCCACGGCCATCCGGCTGCTGATGAAGTACGGCGAGGAGCCTGTCAAAAAGTGAGTGCCAGTCCCAGTGGAAGGAGGACGTTGGCTTTGCACAGCAGGGTTGAGTGGAAGATGCCAAAATAACCCAGGTCTCCTCTCTTCCCCTGTGGAAGACTGCTGAGAAAGCTCTGACCTGTACCTGGAAGGTCCATTTTGGGTAGTCCAGGGGTTCCTACCGGCTCTGCTGTGCAGCAGGCTCACAATTCCATAGCCTGCTGAGCTCCTGCCAGCCCTGTCCTCTCTGCAGGCACAGCAGGAAGTCCCTGAAGGTGCTGGGGACTGTGGGTGAGCCCATCAACCCCGAGGCCTGGCTGTGGTACTACCGTGTAGTGGGAGAGGAGAGGTGTCCCATTGTGGACACCTTCTGGCAGACAGAGACGGTGAGTCCTTGCTGGGTGTCCCTGGCACCTCTCTGTCCCTTGTGCTCCCTGCAGGGCCTCTTTGCAGATTTCCCATAGTGGGGTTTGGGGTCTGGGGGGGTCTTCTTGTTTGGCCTGCCCAGGAAACTCTGGTGTGCTCCTTCTCTTCCTATCCTGGAACTCAGACTCCAAAAGAAGAAACCTTCCTCTCCAAAGGGTCTCTTCCTAACTCTGCTCTGGACAATGAGCAGAGTGTCTCCTTCCTCTCTTCCTCTCCCCCAGCTCCAAATCTGTGCCCAGATTCCCCATCCACTGCCATATCCTTCCCAGGGCCCATCTCCACACCTGCCCTGAGTAGCCCTGACTGGGATGTGCTGTTCCCAGAGCTGATGGCACAGCTGTGGGATGGGCTGGCACGGCCCAAACTCACTGGTTTTTGCCTCTCTGCAGGGAGGCCACATGCTGACACCCCTTCCTGCTGCCACCCCCATGAAGCCAGGCTCTGCTGTGAGTACTTGTGTTCTCCTCCCCAGGAGCCTCAGTAGGGCCCTGTCTGTGCCATGGCTGGGTGGTTGCAACCTGCCAGGAGGTGGGGGGACAGTGGTGCACATGGGGAGGTGACCACCACCCAAAATCCCAGGCCCCATGTACAACAGCTCTCCAAAGCTGCCCTTGCCCTGCCTCCCACTCCCTCTGGTTAATGGGGGTCTAATGCAGGGATTCACCTCCATCTCTCCTTTCTTCCTGGTTCTCATGGCAGACATTCCCCTTTTTTGGTGTGGTCCCTGCCATCCTGAGCGAGTCGGGGGAAGAGCTGGAAGGAGAAGCAGAAGGTTACCTGGTAAGGAAGGGCTGATCTTCCCCACCCTCCCTTTGTCCATGCCCTGTGAGCACTGGGACATTCCTGGTAGAATACCCACATCTTTTGGCCCAGGGAAAGGGTAGAGTCACTATCCCTGGAAGTGTTCAAAAATGTGTGGAGGTGGCACTTGAGGACATGGTTTAATGGTGAAAGTGGGTGATGGTTGGACATTTCCAACCTTAAAAAATTTGTGATTCTACCTCCACTAAGTCCACACCCTTGGGTGGTGGGAACTCCCTCCAAGGCCATAACTTTATGGGAGCTTTTACAGCTGATCACTAAATGCACTTGCACAGGTGGGCAAGGCAGGAGGATGGGAACAACTGCTCAGCCAAGCTCCTTCCCCCTGGCCAAAGCTGGTGGGACTTCCCAGTGGATCAGCGCTGGCAGCAGGTGTCTGAGTGCTGCTCATGGCTGTCTCTGACATCTCTGTCCCTGTGGTGCAGACCTGGGTTGTTGCTTTGGCTCTCACTGGGTGTGTCTCACCCGCAGGTGTTTAAGCAGCCCTGGCCAGGGATCATGCGCACGCTCTACGGAAAGCACCAGCAGTTCGAAACCATTTACTTCAAGAAGTTCCCTGGGTACTACGTGACAGGCGATGGTAAGGGGGTCCAGGCTGCTGTGGTCACAGGGGCCTGGGGACAGCAGTGGAAATCTTGCCCTGTCCTGCCCTCAGGATCCCTTATCAGTTGCTCCGAGGGCTGGCACTGCTGCCTCACACTCATTTCTGGCTATTTTTAGGTTGCAGAAGAGATAAAGATGGTTATTACTGGATCACAGGGAGAATTGATGACATGTTGAATGTTTCTGGTAAGAAGTTTTGTCTTCTGTGGGGACCAATGTGCTTTGTGACACCTTGCTTTTTGACATTTCTACATCCATTTCAAAAGCCACCTGCTTTATGGGGATGGTTTTACACTTGTGATTCTGCTCAGCAACTTGTCCTCAAGGTGGATCCTGTTTCTGGGTCAGGGTTATTTCAGGGACACACAAGCCCATGACTTGGTGACTTCCTGCACCATTTTCCTTGGAGACAAAACCTTGGAGGCAGGGAACTTTCTGTAACTAGCCAGGGCATCTCTGGGCCACAGGGAATCACAGAGTTTGGGCAGGACCATGGGGTTGCTAATCCAACCTGCTGCTCCATGGAGGGCTCACCTCAAAGCTGGATCAGGCTGCTCAGAGCTCTGAAGATTCTTTCACCTCTCTCGACCAAGTATTTGAGATTCAGCTGCTTCTCAGCCCATCATTTTCCATGTACTCTATTTAATAGTTCCCTCCCTCCTTTCCTGGAGCCTGTATCCTCCAAGTGTGTCCTGCTGGTTCTGAGGTGCTGCTTTACTTGTCCCTGGGTCAGATTAGATCCTTTCACCTGACCAGCAGTGCCTGGTTCTCCACCAACTGATCATTCTGGGAGTTGACCACTTTCCTGTGGCTTTCTGTGACAGTGCTGGAGTGGAATGTCAGAGCACAGGTACAGGAGCAGAGGTGTGCAGGACTGAGTTGTGCCCCTGCCCCAAGACATGGAGTGCCACTGCCCCTGCCCTCAGCACTGGGCTGGAGCCTGGACTCTGCAGATCCAGCCTCTTCCTCTGCACCTTCTGGCTGACCATGTGGGCAGGTCTCCTCTTGCCAAATCCAGCTCCTCCTCAGCCTGTGCCTTGGAAAGGCATCACTGTGAACTGTTCATGATCTGTTCCTGAAAGGAGGGAGAGGGAACAGCCAAGGGAGGTGGCTTCTGCAGGTGAGTGACACCTGGCAGCTTCCAAGAGCACTGCGGAAATGAGTTTCACTCTCCAGCTGTTGTCCTTTCCTAAGCACATCAAACTGATGCTCTCAAATCTGTATTTTAGGGCCTTTTACAGCCTGAGGCCTCTTCCTGCAAGTCTGTAATGCTTTGTCTCCCCCTTGTTTGCAGGCCACTTGCTGAGCACGGCGGAGGTGGAGTCAGCCCTGGTGGAGCACCCGGCGGTGGCCGAGGCTGCCGTGGTCAGCCACCCCCACTCCCTGAAGGGCGAGTGCCTCTACTGCTTTGTGACCCTGAGAGAGGGCCACGAGTTCACCAAGAACCTCACAGATGAGCTCAAAAAACAAGGTAGCAACAGCCAAATATTGGGGAGCAGGCAGGGGGAGGACAGGTGCTGGAGGGGTTAAAGGCTTGGGTGCTTGCCTGGTCTGGGGAATGCAGCGTGGACAACTGCCACAAGGTGCCTCTTGATTACAGAGCACGGCTAACAAAGACTAAAATTAGTTCTCCCAGCCTTTGGCTGCTCATGTGATGCCATCTCTGCCTCTGGGAGCTGGCAGCCCTGTGAGGGACTGGGGTGCTCAGCAGGCTTTTGTTTGCAGCAGGGCTCTCCCTGGCAGACTGGGACATCCTGAGAGGATCATGGGGTTCCTTTAGGGTGCTCTGCTCTCAAGGAGTTTTGTTTCACTGCAAACTGCAGTATTGAATACATGAAACAAACCTGTGGCAGCTTCTTCTCTGGAGGAACCCAAGAGTGAATTTGAATCAATCCTTGCTCTGTCAAAATGGTCATGGTGCTGGTTGTAGCTGTTAGGGAGGTGTCTGGAAGATGGAGGGAGTGAAAAAACGAGTACTCTCACTGTTGGGGAGCTGTGCTTCTGGCCCTGCTGGCATTGCAGGTCTTGCTGTCCCCTTCCACCGTGTGGAGGCTCAGGTGTAGCAGCCCCAGGCACTGCCCTGCCAGGTGTCCCAGGAGCTGGGCTGTGTCTTAACCTTCTGTTCTTCTGTCATGGAAAGGATGTGTGGCTTCTCCTCATCCCTGCAATGAAAATCTCTTTTTTGCAGTCAGAGAAAAAATTGGGCCCATAGCAACACCTGATTACATCCAGTACGCCCCCAGCCTGCCCAAAACCCGCTCAGGTGAGTTCCAGGGGTGGTGCTGGGGAGGACTGGATGGTTCCTGCCAGTGGAAGTCGATCAGCCCTGCTCTGCTTGTCCAGGGCTGCTCAGATTAGGGGAGGTACAAGCTCAGGGCGAGCAGGATGTGCAGGTCTGGTACTTCCCACTTCTGCTAAGGATGCTGAAGAGATCCTGACTCCTGTGGAGAGGGACTTTTTATATGGACAGATAATGAAGGACAAGGGATGATGGTTTTAAACTGGTGGAAGGCAGGTGTAGATTAAATAGACTTAAGGAAGGAATTGTACCCTGTGAGGGTGGGAGGCCCTGGCACAGGGTGCCCAGAGAAGCTGGGGCTGCCCCTGAAGTGTCCAAGGCCAGGTTGGATGGGGCTTGTGGAGATTGGAACCTGGGATAGTGGAAGCTGTTCTTGCCCATAGCAGGGGGTTGGAAGGAGATGATCTTTAAGGTCCCTTCCAACCCAGACCATTCTGGCATTCTGACTCCTGCTTCCCTTTCTTGGCTGTCACTACAGGAAAGATCACCAGACGGATTTTGAGGAAGATTGCCAAAAATGACCACGATCTGGGGGACATCTCCACCTTGGCAGACCCGGGCATCATCACACACCTTTTCAACAGCAGATGTGACACTAAGCAGTAGCAGCAGGACCTGTCCCTGCTGAGCAGAACAGTGGCAGTGGCACCTGATGAGCAGGTCCCTCCAACAGCTGCTGCCTGCCCTGAAGGAAACCTTCACCTGTTGAATTGAATGTACCAATCGTAGGAACGAGGAGAGTCTGGCTCTGGAGAGGCCGTGCCCGTGCCCTGGATGAGGTGTCTGTCGTGTTCCAGATGGATGTCACACATCTGAGGGTCAGCCTGGTGCACAGAGGGACTTGTCCTCCTCCCTTTTCAGCACCTCGTTCTTGATTTTAATTTAATTGGGGGGGTGGGGGAGAGGGTGTTAATTTACTTTATGTCTGGAGGGGCCCTGGCACCTTGTGCACAGTGGGAAGGAGCTTTGGGGGCTGGAGGGGAAGTGATGCTGGAGTTACTCAATGCAGGCAGGCCTGGGAGGGGCATCACCACTGCCCACGGAGCAGCTGAGCTTCCTTTTGTGCTTGGAGTGCTGCAAGCTGCAGGAGCACTGCAGCAGCCACATCATCACTGCACAGCTGTGCTCACCCTGCATCCACTGGCCTGCTGCTAGCACAGCTTCCTGGAGCCTCTAGGGGAGTGGGGCAGGGCTGCCGGGAGCTCTGGGCTTTAAACAGGTTTTTTGGGGCAATCTGATACCAAGATCTGCTGCTTCCTCACTGTGTTGTGCCAGCTGGTGCATTGTCCCCAGTCCAGGGTCCTTCACTGGCCATGGACACCACAGGGAGCCAGGAAGGGAGAAGCCTTGGTGTGACATGTTCCATGGAGCCCTGGTTCCTCCAGCCCTGCTGCACCAGCCCACAGCTGGAGCAGCTGGATGCTCCTTCTGTGTCCTGGGGGAGGACTGGGAGTTGTTACAACGGATGGAGAGGAAATGGAGCCAGGCAGAGGCACCTTTCTCATGGCACCATGAGCACTGCTACAGCAGAGAAACCAAGGCAGGCAGGGCTGGGAGAGTCCTACTCAATTCCTCATTAGGAAAAACTGGTGGGAGATATTTAAAGTCAGTGTTTGCTTAAATCTGACATGGCTTAAGGATGATGAGAGCTAAAGGCCCACAAACCTTTTCCCCAAGAGCCTTGACCACCACCAGGGTCCTGCCAAAGCCATCCTTCCTCCAGTGAAGGACCTTTAGCTCCAGCCAGGGCTGAGCTGGGGCTCATACCTCCTTTGCAATGTCTCTATGAAACCTGCATGTGAACTGTTTGATTTTGCACTTAAACCAAAGGAGAACTGGGCTTTAAAACTTGCCGCGACAGCTGTTTTGGGGAGTGCCAGTGGCCAGGGATTACCTGCAACCTGAGCTGACTTGGGGCTGGAAAGAAGGGGCAGCTGCCTCTGGGTCAGCGTGCTCAGGGCAGGGGTTGGGGTGCTCCGCTGGGCTGTTGGCCAAGTCCCAAATCTCACTTGTTACCTGCTGCTCTCACTGGCACAGCACCTGTGTCACCTGTAACCTTGGTGCCTGCCTGTGTCCCATGTGCCCCCACAGCTCTGTACCACTGGATTGTGCCACCTTGGTGACAAGGATTCCTACATCATCGTTCCTCCTGTTACTCTTTGTCAGCTATGTAATTTTGGCTGGAAAACAGCGAGAATTTAATGCAAAATGGAATAAAATTCAAGAAAACAAAATGGAAACAGGCTTGGAGTGTGTGGGGGTCATGGGTGTTTGTGTGCTGTTGAGTCCAGGGTGCTCAGTGCAGTTGGAGTGGCCTTGCCAGAAACCAGGACTGGCTTTTGGGATGAAGAGGGGCAGGTTCCTGCCAGCATGATGTTTTTCCATGGACTGGGATTTACTGTGGCTGGCTGTGCTGGCTCCAGGGCTGCAGCCCGTGCCTCAGTTTCTCCCTGGTCTCCAGCCAGTGCTGCTCCAAGGCTCATGGAAAGCACAAGGCAGTGTGACACCCCCGTGTCACCAACCCCGTCATGCAGCACTGGTTCCAGGGAGCTGGGTGAGGAGGCTCAGGGCTGCCAGCACAGCTCAGGGCTGCCTCACCTCCACCCCAGGCCCAGTCCCCCTCCAGGCACAGCCATGGATCTTTGCACAGCTGGCCAGCTGTACCCCTGGGCTCGGACAAACCTGGCACAAACAGCAGTCAGATTGCACATTCCTTTTAATCTCTGGCTTGGGGTAATCAATCCCCCAACAAAACACCCAGGAAGCCCAGTTTCAGTCACACTTGGAGAAAGGAGCAGTTTCCCAGGTGACCGATTGGTGATTGATGCCACAGCAGCAAAGAGCCAGCAGGGCTGTCAGCACACCCAGTCTGCAGGAATTCTGCCTTTGTGCTGCTTCTGTCACTCAGCACATCCGCTCTGCAGGAATTCTGCCTTTGTGCTGGTTCTGCCACTCAGCACATCCATTCTGCAGGAATTCTGCCTCTGTGCTGGTTCTGTGTAACTGACAGGGCTGGGCTGAGGCTGCCCGGGCTCTTCGCTGCCAGAAAGGTGCAGCTTTCAGGGCTGAGGAGGGAAGGGGCTGGAGGAAGAGGCAGAAGACCTTGAGCAGGAGAGCCCACACCCCTCCACTGCTGCGCTGTTCCCACTGATCCATAAAACCTGGAGGGAGTCTCCCCCTCTGCTGGTGCTGGTCCCAGAGTAAGGTGCTGGGAGCTGGGGCTGCGCTGCCCAGCCTCCCCTGCAATTCCTTCACTTCCTCACCACAGAGCTCTCAGTCTCAGCAGGAGCATTCCCAAGGCTGGGGCTCCCTGGCAGGAAGATGCTCAGTATTTGATTTGCAGTGGGATGCACTGGCACAAATCCAGAGTGCTTTGGGATTTATCAACACACACAAAGCTCCAATTCACTGCTGTCTTGAGAGCTGCCTCCATCTCTGAGGGATTCTTACACCAGCCTGTGGAGATCTGTTGGACAGGGCTGCAGGAGGCAGCAGGAGCCTGCCCTGGTCCCTGCATTGCTGCCTGCCCTGTGTGGCACAGAGACACCCAGTAAAATAAAACAGGAGTTGGGCAAAGCAAAAGCAAGAGGCCCTTGGGCAAATTACCCAGGGCAGCTGTGCCTGGTGCGGGAACCCTGAGGATCCTCAGGCACAGGGGAAAACAGAAGTCAGGATAGCAGCAGCATGGGAAGGAGGGGCCATGGTGCGTGGAGCTGGGCTCTCCTCTTTAAGCTGGAGAGCACTGAGGCACTGGATGAAGATAAAGGCTGATACTTGCCCATCCACCTTTCTCCTCTCATTCCTTAGGCTGTGTATGTCTCCAGAAACCATGCAGCATAAGGAGCTCAGAGGTGGGAGCAGCACAAAGGCTTCTAGTGGCACCTTTGCTCCATATCCCCCTGCCCCCAGGCCAGGCCCCAAGGGAACATCCAGAACCCTGCAGTCCTGGGAGTCACAGCTAGGCTGTGCCCAGGGCAGGGCCCCCTGAGCAGGCAGAGCAAGGGAATCCTTCTTCCTGGAGGGGGAATCACCAGAAGAAGCTGGGGCTGGCACCCAGGACCTCTGAGCAGCTGCATCACACAGTCCCTCCTCACAGCCTCCAGCGGCCGGACCTCAGCAAGCACCCTAAGGAGAAATCCCTGGGGCAGATCAGCTCTTGAGGCAGCAGAGAGGAGGGTGGGGCTGTGGCTCCTCACACCAGGAACGGCGTGTCCAGCACGGCCACCCCGGCTGCCACGCCGCCGTCCGCGTGCTCCGTGGCCTTGGTGCGCAGCAGGTGCCCGGCGGCCTGGTTCAGCACCAGCTCCCTGCCCTGCCTGCAAAGGAGAGGGACACTGAGCCCCTGCAGAGCACAGAGCTCCTGCCAGCTCTCTGGGGCAGCAGGATGCACCTTCCCTGTCAGCACACAGGGATAACGTGGCAGTTAAATGGGCAGTGCCAGGAGCTGAATGCTGCCAGAGCACCTTTGTTCCCAAAACTGTGTGAAAAGGACTTTAATTTATACCCTATGGAAACGTGGCCTATGAGGGTTTTCAACAAAAGCAGATCCTCTTAGGGTTGGACAGGCATTAGGCCTTTCAGAGATCACCAGGGCTTCAGAAAAACCACACATGGGGCTGCACCCAGAACCCCAGAAGTGCTCCCCGAAATCAGGGATGAGACACATCGAGCCCAAGATCCCATTACACCAGTAACTGCCAGCACCAGCCCTGTGGTTTTCCAACAGCTCGTGTGGCAGCAGGTTCAGAGCTGCAGATCAGCACGTGCACATGTGCTCAGAGCTGCTCCCAGGGGCACAGACTGAATGGCCACATCTGTCCCCTGCACCTGCACATCCCCAGACATCTGTCCTATGGCTGTGCTTGGGCTGCACAGAGGGCAAAATGCTCCTGCTCCACGTCAGGAGCAGGGAACTGCCCTGGAACACAAGCACACTCCTCACCTGACATAGACACCAAAGATGCCGAGCTCGGAGATGCACTCGGACACTCGGAGGGGACTGTGAGCCCTCAGCAGGTAATTCAGTGCTGGCTGGGGTTTGATCTTATCCATCAAGATGTAGGAGGTTCTCTCAGGGCTGTCTTTGATCTTCTGCAGAACCTCCCTGAGCTCTTCACCATAGAGGTTGTTCCCTGGCAAACAAAACCAGCACATCAAGCCCTTCCAGGCCAGCAGAAGCCCCTGGCCCCAGCCCTGTGGCCCTGGCAGCCCAAATAACCCAGCCTTTGTCTCCCCAGGTGCTGCCTGGGCTCTCCACACCCAGCACCAGGGACTTGGGAGCTCCTCCAGGAGCAGGACTAGTCTCCATGGCTATGAGTAGCCACAAGCCACCCTTTATCCCTCAGCACAAGACCAGGAGCTGGCACAGAGCTCGTGCCTGTCCCAAATACAGCACAAACCACAATGGAAGCCCCCAGGGCTCACACCTCCACAGCCCAGCTCATACCTCCACCTTCACGCTGAGGCTTCAGCACGAAGCGGTCGGGGTGAGCGATGGCTGTGGCAGCCATTCTGTCACCCTCTTCACCCTGGTAGGAAAGGATGGAAACAGGGAATAATTTCCTCATGGACAGGGTGGTTTCACATGGGAATGAGCTGGATGGAGTCACCACCCCTGGAGGTGTTCAAGGAATGATGGAATGTGGCACTCAGTGCCATGGTCTAGTTGATAATGTGGTGTTTGGTCAAAGGCTGGACTCTGATCTTGGAGGGCTTTTCCAACCTAAATGATTTTGTGAACAAAACACCAAGGAGCAGCAGGTGCTCCTCAGCAGATCCCTCTGAGCAGAGGCACCAACAAATTCCCCAAGGACCACTGCTTGAGAAGAAGAGAGGGCTTTGCTAAGAGCACAGGTGTGCATGTCCCTTCCTGCTCCAGCCCCGCTCCCACTCACCTCATCCAGGGAGTAGAGTCCTGCAAAGGTGGCTCTGATCCGAGCGACGGCCTCGGGGTGGCCGGGCAGCAGCTTCTCCAGCGTCCCTGGCCTGCTGAGCTCCTGCTGCACCTTCTTGGTGCCCGCCAGCTGCGTGGCAATGTCAGGGCACTTCACTGCCCGGGACCTCTCCAGCAGCAGCCGCGCCTCCCAGTTCTGAGGCAGCGAAGGAGCAACCACGCCGTGAGGGAGAACAACACACAAAAGGTTTGCTTTGCTCTTTTCTGTGCAGTTAGCGACATATGGTTTGTCTCCTCCCTGCCTGCTGGCAGGGACAGGGGGTGGGAGTAGCATTCCAGAGAAAAGCAGACATGAATTTCCCGCCACCTCTGGGTGGCACAGTCAAATCTGTGTGCACCTTCCCCAGCTTGCCCAGTACTGCCACCTCGAGACACCAGCAAGATCTGCTCTGTGCTATTACCTGCAGCCTGATCGTGCTAGGAGAGCACAGAGTGAGCTGTACACTAAGTCTGAAACCTTTAAGCAGGTGCTCATACCTATGTTAACCCCTATTTGTACAGAAACAATTCAGTGCTGCACTAAGGGATGACCCCCTGGAGAAAAGCCACCCATTTTTCTTACTGCAGGGTCACCCACCTGCTCCCTGGAACCACAGCCTCCCCATGCTCTCAGCCATACCAGGCAGAACTGACCCCATCCCAGACAGGACAGCTGCCCCTGGGATTACTTGGAGCTCCCTGGGCAGTGCCCAGCTGGTGGTTTCTGGGGCAGGAGGTGGGTACTGACCTGCTCGTTGTAGACCTGGGGCACGTAGCCCTCTCTGTAATACACCACTGCGACCTCCTGGCCGTCCCTGGAATGGAAACCAGAAGTGCTCACAGAGCCAGGCCAGGCCCTGCCCCATCCCAGCACCAGGGGATCACAGCCCCCTGCCCCTTCTCCTTGGCCTCTGGCCTCTCTGCTCCTGCCTGGCTGTGCCAGAGCAAGCTGAACACTGCAAGCTCCCCTCCACTGAAGCACAGCTCAGCCTGTCCCAAGACACAGGGAGCTGACACCCGACCTCTGCTCTAACCAAAGGCTCAATAATTCTGACACCCAGCTCTGCAGAGAGGTAAGCACCTCATTTTTAACAGCTTTTAATCCCATGCTGGCCTGGGGGACTCAGCCTGGAGAAAAGGAGGCTCAGGGGGGACCTTGTGGCTCTGCACAGCTCCTGACAGGAGGGGACAGCCGGGGGGTGTCGAGCTCTGCTCCCAGGGAACAGGGACAGGAGGAGAGGAAATGCCCTCAAGTTGCACCATGGAAGGTTTAGACTGTAGAAAATCTCTTCACTGAAAAGGTGGTCAAGCAATAAGACATGTGGCTCAGGGCAGTGGAGGGACCAGAAGATGTGAGGCTGTGGCACTTGGGGACATGTTCAGTGGTGCTGGGTTACAGGTTGGACTCTTTCTCAGAGGTCTTTTCCAACCTGAACAGCTCTGTGATTCTCTGATTCTTGAAGCTGGAGGGAACAAGGTCCTGTGGCAATTCAAGGCAAGACATCAGCTCAACAAGCTGAGAGGCACCAAACCAGCCTGCCAGGGCTGAGCTGGCAGCACAGCTGCAGCACCACACACCCAAGCTTTGGCCTCAAAACTGTGCACTTGGTCTGGGAGCTGCTGGCAGGCAGACAGGAGGTATCCAGCAGGGACAGGGGAGGATGCTCAGGAGGAAGAACAAGGGATACACTTTCCCCTCAACTATCCAGCCATGACAATATATTCATTAATTAAACACAGCACAGACCCCAAAGGTCAAAAATCAGCCTCACTACAGAAAAAACACTGTCATGAAACCACATCTTTTCTTAGGTTCATACTCCACCTCACAGGAATCCCTCCCCTTAGATTCTTACAGCTACCAGCATATTACCTGGAAATAGGACAAACGTCACACTTGGGACCAGCTGGGAGCCTGTGATTCTCCCGTCCTGGTCTCCACAGGGAGTGGGCAAGACACAGAGAGTTCAAACCCAAGAGATCCCCAAAGGACATGGAATGCTTCCTCCTCCTGCACTAACAACCCAGCCCAGCTCCCACTGGCAGAGCAGCACATGAACAGTAAACAGGAAATGGCTCTGTGGAAACCTCTCAAACAGCCAGGGCTGCTCAGAGCAGACCTTCATGGAGGAGGTAAAGATCCCCCAGAGCAATGAAGGCTGAAGGCTGAAGGAGGGAGATTATGACTGCAGCTGTAAGGCACTGATGTGTGTCTGCAAAATCTCACCACCATGAACACAAAGCCATCTCAGCTCCAAGAGGAAGCAGCAGCCCGGAGCATGGAAGAGAACTGCTTCCTCAGTCACTTCTTGCAGGCAGCCTTGGCTGCGGGCTCCCGCTGCCAGCCCCGTGTGGCCGAGAGGCGGCAGGAGCGCGCACCTTGGCTCATACTCACATATACAGCCTCCTGCTGGCATCCAGGGAGCCCTGCTCAAACACATCCCGGAACCGCTTCCTCACCACACGGATGTTCCTGCCAAGAGGAGCCAAGAGTCACCAGGCTGGGCACAGGGCTGCAGATCATGGGTGGAATTCTGGCTGCAGCAAGGAGGATTTGTAGGTTCCTTCACATACAGCCTCAGGCTTTGTGCTATGGAGGCAGAGAAATCCCGCAGCCCAAAGAGCTCCCTGTTTAGGAACCCATCCTATGTTTCCTATGATCTGCCAGCTGTTTGCTCAGCTTTCCATATCAGAAACTGAACCATAACCTTCTTTCTTTCCCATCTCAGGAAAATTCAAACTTTACCTGTTCCAAAGCTCATTTTCTACACAACGCTGATCAAAAATATTCCTCTGGACTTCCTCCACCAGAAACATCACCACAGCTCTGGAAGAGATACCAAGGACATCATTAAACCCATAAACACTCCACATGCTCCTAGCTGGATCATCAGCTTTCCTGGATTTTTACATGAAACAAGGGACACTGGCAGTGTGTTTAGCATCTCGTCCCAGGCTCCCTCTTCCTCACAACTCTTTGAGATCACTCCACCTGAACTGGACAGCTCTCCATCTCTGTGATTCAGGCTCCCTGCACTGCTCCTTACCTTTGGGACCCATAGAGCTCCCAGGCTTTGGCAATTCCCAAGGCCAGCCCCTTCGCTGGGTTGTTGGCCAGCAGCTGTGATGCCTCCTCACTCTTCCCCAGCACTTTCAACACCAACCTGTGGAAGAAAAATGCTGTAAATGCCATGTCCATGCCCAGCTGGATCAAGGGAGCAGCCTGGAGAGCACAGGGGCCACGCAGTGCAGCTGCTGCAGTGGGAGGTGCTCCTTACCTGTGGACGTCGGCGGTGCGGGAGGTGAGCCCCCCGAAGCTGGCAGCAATGGTGTTTATTTCTATCTGCCTCAGAGCTGCTGTGCCATCCAGCCCACAGTCAAACATGTAATCCGAGCGGTTGATGCCCAAAACTACAGTCTGGAACACAGGGAGGGGAGCTGGGGTCTCCTGCTGCCTTTAACTGCAAATCCTCTGCTGACCTTGCTTCAAAATACTCCCAGGGCAGATCCGGTCAGAGAATCCCAGAGTGGTTTGGGTTGGAAGGGATTTTAAAGACCACCTCATCCCAGCCCCTGCCGTGGGCAGGGACCCTTCCACTAGACCAAGTTGTTACAAGCCCTGTCCAACCAGGGCTTGAATATTTTCAGGGATGGGACAGCCACAGCTTCTCTGGGCAACCTGTGCCATCACCTTACCACCTGCACAGTAAATTTCCTAATATTTCACCTAAACCTATTCAGTGTCAGTTTGAAGCCATTCCCTCTTGTCCTGTCACCCTCAGTTTAATACAAACCACTGCAGGTCACACATCTGGGTGATCTGCCCCCTGCCCAGGGCCCACAGCCCTCTCAGAGCTCCAGAGGAGTTCCCAACACTTCTGAGAGTAAAGGACCTTCTGCAGGTCCCAACAGGGATCTGCAGGGATGGCCTGGCCAGTGCAGGTCCCAACAAGACACACGTTCCTGCACACTCGGAGGCTCCCAGAGGACAAAGACAAAGCACACAAAACCCTCCCTCTCCAGGCCAGGCTGTTTCCAGCAGCACCAACCAAAGAGCTCAGCTGTTCTACAGGGCAAGGTCCTGAGCTCACCAGCTGCAACAAGACATTGCAGGGCAGGGCGTGACCAGCCTGGCACAGCTCAGAGTCCACAGTGCCAAAGCTTGCAGCCAGAGCCCAGGCACACCCACCACAATGCCAAGGGGCACAGACCACTGGGATCCCCTGCCCAGGTACCTGAGCCAAGCCTTCCTCCAAAACCTGCATGTAGATTCTGAAGAGTTGAGCTGTGAAGTCATCTACCTTGATGGTGCTAGAGAGAAACACAGACCACGTCAGCCCCCTGCTGCTGTCACAGACAAACAAGAAAACTATTCTGCAGAAAAAGCCCTTAGTAGGGGCATTCTCCAGCAAAGAGCAGGGCTGGGGCTCAACCAAGTGCTGTAGCACTGTGAAACATCTCCCCATGAATGCTCAGTCCAAAACCACAACACAAACCCAGCTTGCCAAGCACAGCCTCTCCACAAAAAGGCCCTCCTGAGCAGAGGTGACTCACTGGCAGGGTAGAGATGGACAAGTAAAGGCAAAGAAATGCAGCAGAATTCTGCAGGTTCAGGCAAGAAACCACAGGTCTCTCTGGGCCTGCACACACAGCTCAGAGAAGCTTCACAAGCTTAATCTAATCCCCCTGTCCTGTCAGGCTTCACATCCAACACACTGTGGCCCTACTAGAGCAGATCTGGCTTTTCCTCAGGGCCCCAAATCCTGAACAGCACCTCCAGTGAGCTGCCCTGGCACAGGGCAGGCACCTGAGCACACACAAGCCCCAGGTGCTGCATTCTTTAACCACAGGTACAAACATGTCCCCACAAGCTCTGGCTGCAGCCAGCTCTGGAACAGCTCCAAAGGGTGAGGATTTAACAGAACAAAAGGATGCTGGAAAACAGCCTCCTCTGTTCTGTCCCAGTGCCAGAGGCAGCAGCACGAGCACAGGCAGCACAGAAGAGGCAGTGGGAAGGGAAGAGGGATTTGTGGAAGCATCAGCCCCGCAATCACGAGCAACAAATGATCACTCCAGCCCAGGCAATAGCCACAGATAAACTCAGCAGAACCCAGGAGCCAGAGCTGGACAGTCCTCCTGCAGCCAGAGCTCGTGGCTGGGAAAGAGGGCATGGAGGTAACTGATGGAGGGTGTGGAAACAGAACAGACACCTCCTTTTCATCACTGCTGCAGCAGAGCTGGTGGTTACTGGACAGACACCGGCAGATGCAGAATAAGACAAAAAGAGACTCCTAAATCCAGGACTCAAAGACTCCAGTGGTTTGCATTTAAGGCTCAGGGGCTAAAAAGCTCACAAGTATGAATTCACAAGCCTGAAAAAGTGACAAAGTTGAAGATGATAGCAGGGAATCAGGTCTTTGCCAGATGCCCTGTTTTCTGGGGCCCAACTAGGCCTCAGAAAGGCAGGGATGTCACAAGGGTGATAAAGGCTTTACATTTGAAAAATTTCATTAAAATGCAATATGCAAAAACATTACCTGGCCAGAGTTTGCTCCAGGAATTCTTTGTTTTGACTGACAGCATCCACCAGCAGGTTAAAATCCTGCTGGACAGCGTAGGCTTGCTCAAACAAGGCCCGTGGCACTGCGGACGGGAGCAGCGTGAAGGGGGCATAATTCACCTCCTGCAGGCAGGGATGCAGCAGAGCAGTCAGGGCTGGGCAGCTCAAGAGGGGCCAAGGAGGTGCTTCCTCTGCCTGGCTGAAGGCTGAAGGCACCCCCAGCCCTGCAGGGCAGACACATGGCCTCAACCCTGCTGACTCCTCACTCCTGAGGTTCTGCTTTATGAACCACCAGCAGGGCACTGCTGCTCCAGCGCCTGGGCTGGGCTGACTGCCTCCCCCTGAACTGCACAGCACTGTCTCCAGAACTTCTCAGGGGCAGAGAAAAAGTCAATTTGCCAGACCTGGCTTCTGGCTGTCTGGTTCTTACTTTGATCCCTGTCTCTGCTCCAGAGCCCTGGCCCATCCCACATCTCAGGCACGGGGTCACACCCAAAGTCCACAGAGAAGTTTCCAATTCTCCTGGATTTTTACATGAAACAAGGGACACTGGCAGTGTGTTTTGCCTCTCCTCCCTCTTCCTCTCACCCCTTGGAGACCACTCAGAGCCCTGACCTGACATCAGGGAGCAGTGCTGTGGTGACACCTCCTTCCTTGCACCCCTGCCAGCTGCCTGCTTGCGCCCAGGCCCCTCAGGGACCCTTCCCCAATGGCGTCCCACCCCTCCCGCACAGGGGCACTTCTTGCTCTGAGACCCCTCATGGCATTCTGCTCCAACAGGCTGAGCCCTCCCACCCCAGCCATCCACCAGGGATTGCTCAGAGGCAAATCCCACACATCAGTCACCTCCACCCCTGTCACCTCACCCTAGTTATGGGACAAAGGCTGACTGTAGCTGGGAACATGCCAAAAGCAGAGGCCCCTCCATGACACTCTCCTCTGGTTCAAAGGTTCATATGGGTGGTGAGAGGCTGGGAAAAGGATTAACTCCCAGCACTACAACAGGCAGCTTCCTAAACCTTCCCAGATCTATCCCTCTCCTTGGAAAGGAAATCTGTATGGCAGAGCTGTCCCTTGGGGAGCTGTGCTCATCATCGGGATGTGCTGTGAGCTGTACCCCAGTGAAGGCTGTCCCTTGGGGGGCCGCTCCTTGCCAAGGGCTCAGGGACCGCGGGCACGGGCGGCGGCTGCTCCCCGCGCTGCGCACTCACATCCGAGGCGTTGGGCTGCTCGCCGGTCCGCATCAGCACCCCCGCCAGCAGCGCCGCGTCCACCGCCACCGCCGCCGCGTCCCGCACGGCCGCCGCGTCCCGCACCACGTCCTGCCAGGCCGCGGCCATGGCAGCGCTGCGGGCACGGCACGGCACGGCGTCAGCGCCCGGCCCGCAGCCCGAGCCCGGCCCCGGCTGTCCCCGGCCCCTGTGCCCTGAGCCCCGGCCCCTGTGCCCGGCCCCCGGCTGTCCCCGGCCCCTGTGCCCTGAGCCCCGGCTGTCCCTAGCCCCTGTGCCCTGAGCCCCGGCCCCTGTGCCCTGAGCCCCGGCTGTCCCCAGCCCCTGTGCCCTGAGCCCCGGCTGTCCCCAGCCCCTGTGCCCTGAGCCCCGGCTGTCCCCAGCCCCTGTGCTCTCACCCTCGCTCCCTGTCCCCTCGCCCGGTCCCCAGACCGTCAGTGCGCCCTGACCCCGGACCCTGGCCCACGACCCCCGGTCCCTTCCTGGTTCCCGTTCCCTGAGCCCCAGCCCTCGGCACACCGCTGTCCCCTGTCCCCCGAGCCCTCTGTCCCTCCCAGCCCCTCACTGACCCCCGGGCCGTCCCGACGCCCCCGGTTCCGCTGCCCGGACCCGCTCCGGCCGCTCGGTGCGGGCGCTGCGGACCGCCCCGTGATTGGACGGGCCGCGCCCCTCGCTCCGCCCCTCACGCAGATTGGTAGCTCAATGAACCAATCAGCGTGGGGAAAGCGCCCCTCGTGTGCGATGCCGCGCAGCGGGGGCGGGAGGAGGAGGAGCCGCGTCGGGAGCGCGTAGCGCGCACGCGCCGGGTTGTGTCACGGCGGCGTGACGTCATGTCGCGACATCATGAGGGCGACAAGGGCGGTGGGGCTGCAGCTCGTGAAATCCGACTGCTGCGTGCGGGGGCTGCTCGGGGCCAGAGCTGCTGGGGGCCCAGGGCCGTGGAATGGTTGGTGCAGTGTTCGTAGAGGCCCTTTCCAACGTCAGCGACCCTGTAATTCCGAGCGAACACCTTCACCGCCATTGCTGCCCTGCGGACAGGAACTGCAGAGCTGCCTGAGGAAGTGAAAGGAATTTGGGATATCGCTGTTTTCCGTTCCTTGCCCTGTTCCTGCCCCACGTGCCTCTGCTGCGCTGCCTGCAGGGCCTGGCGAGGGCTGCCCGGGGTTCGCGGTGCGGCCCCACGGCTGATGGCCCCGGAGTTCCCGCGGCGCTGTCCCGTGCTCCCGGTGTCCCCAGGGGATGTCCCGGCCACGTGCCGGGCAGGGAGGTGCTCCCAGGTTCGCAGCAGTGTTCTGGGTGCCCTCGGGGCAAGCTGAGGTTTTTCTGGCCCTGTGACTGCGGGTTTGTGCTCCCTCTGCCGTGGTTCCTCAGCGGACAGCGTTGCTCTCTGGCCTCGTGGCACACAGAGCCGAGGCCGGGGATCTTCTGGGCCTCTTTGCCTGGGAAAGAGCAGGTCTCAGAATCCTTTCATGTACTTACAGGACACTCATTTCCCAGCAACAGGGCTTGAAATGACAGTGTGGGAAATGGAGAGGGTTAATTTTCTATTAGGAACAAGCAAAAGTTAGGTGTAAATAAGTCAAACCCAAGCAGGTCCTTTTGAATTCTTTATTTCAATGTGCAGAGGAACTGTCAGTCCTGACTTTGCCCTCTGAGTAAGTGTAATGAAATGGAACAACCCTATGTTGGTACCTTCAACACAACAGTGTAAAAAGAAACACAATTTGTTGTCATCACAAGGAAAAAAATTGTGTATCCACTGAAATAACAGAATGACTTGAGCATTTCCACAGCTCATTTAGGACAGAACTGTGGGGCTCCAACCAAAGCAGCAGGGCTGGAGTTGGTTGTGACCTGTGCTGGGAACATGTGAAGCCATGGATGGCTGGATGGGGTGTGATGCTCATGTGCAGCCAAGAGAGCAAGAGCTGGACACCAGTCTCACATCTGCACCCCAACAGGAGCCAGTCCTGTGCCCTGGCAGCCAGAGCCCCCGGTGCCAGGCTCACCCGCACGTAACCAAAGCAGCAGGGCTGGAGTTGGTTGTGACCTGTGCTGGGAACATGTGAAGCCATGGATGGCTGGATGGGGTGTGATGCTCATGTGCAGCCAAGAGAGCAAGAGCTGGACACCAGTCTCACATCTGCACCCCAACAGGAGCCAGTCCTGTGCCCTGGCAGCCAGAGCCCCCGTGTGCCAGGCTCACCCACACGTGGGCAGCGAGGGGACCCTGGCCCTCTGCTCCCCTCAGCACAGCCCACCTGTGGGGCTGCCTGCAGCTCTGGGGGCTCCCACGGGAGAAGGACATGGAACTGCTGGAGCTCCAGGAGGCCACAGAGTTTGAGGGGAACTTCCCTATGGGAAAAGGCTGAGAGGCTGGGGCTGTTGAGGCTGGAGAAGAGAAGGTTGTGAGGAGACCTCCCAGCACCTTCCCCGAGTGTGAAGGGGCTACAGGGAAATGGGAGAGGACTCTTCCTCAGCAACTGTGGTGACAGGACAAGGGGAATGGGATCAAACTGAAAGAGAGTAGGTTTAGATTTGATGATGGGAGGAAATTGTTTACTGTGAGGGTGTTGGGCCCTGGCACAGGCTGTGCAGAGAGGCTGCGACTGTCCCATCCCTGGGAACATTCAAGGCCAGGTTCAATGGGCCCTGAGCAACTTGGTCTGGTGGGAGGTTGCTCAGGTTGGAATTAAATGATTTTTTTAGGGTTCCAATTCAAGGGTTTGATTATTCTATGATCCCTATCCAACAGTGTGGAGCAGCCCTGGAATTCTGTTGATATCACAGTTCCCAGAGTGTTCCAGATGGCACTGCCAGCCAGGAGCTGGAAACGAGCACAGCACAGCCTTCACCTGCTACCAGAGGTCACTTGTCACCTTGTCACCTGCCCATCAGTATGTCCATCAGTTCTGAGCTGTTCCTGCTGTCTGGATTTTCCCTGCTGTCTGGACTGAAGCACCAGTCCCAGCAGGATGTGCACTCCTGTCCCAGTGGGGATCCAGTGCCATTTCAGGGAGGGGGCACCCCCTGACTGCCCGGGCAGGCTGGAGCAAAGTGGTGATGGTGTGGAACAGAGACCCCACTGTGAGGTTTGGCTTCCTGCTGCAGCCTGACAGATGAAGGAGATGGAAGTAGATAAGGTGACGGATAATGAAGAAATTATGGAGGTGGATGTTGAAGAGTTTGTTGACGAGCTGGAGGCTGATATGGAGGAAGAAATGGAGGACATGGAGGTCGATGAGGAAGATGAGGAGGAGCCCATGATCCTGGGATGAAGATGGAGCCCCAGCAGCAGCACAGGCAGGTGCTGGCCGTGCCCTGCCCACAGGCAGGCTGGGTCCCCTGCTGCCAGGCTGGGGCTGGGCTGGGTGGCCCCGCTCAGGGACACGGTGCCCAGGGGGCTCTGGGCTGTGGTGCCACAAACACCACCCTGGCCCTGGGCTTGCTCTGGGCCACGCCAGCCCCGTCCCAGTGCCTGGGGCCCAGCTCCCAGCCCAGCTGGGCTCAGGGCTGGTGGCAGAGCCCCACTGTGCCAGCGTGTGCCAGCCTGGGGGCACAGGGAACAGCCCCCAGGGCTGGGCTGGAATGGCCTCGAGCTGCTTCCCTCTCTTCCAGGACTGACAGAGATGCTGGCTGTGAAAATCTTCATTTTGTACATATGTTTTATAGGCTGTTTGATAATTTCCTGTAAATATGTTATGCATATTATTATTTCATAGAGCCTCCTGCAAATATGTTTCGAAGGTTGTTATTTCATTGGGCCTTATGTAAATACATTTTGAAGATTGTTATTTCTTAGACCCTTCTGTAAATATGTTCTATAGATTGTTGTTATAATGATTCTTATCATATAAATAAGTTTATTGTTTTTACTGCTCTTCTGTAAATACATTGTCCTTGTTTGTCACAGCCAATTCTCTTTGCATTTGCTTTGGACATAAGCAGCATTTGCAGAGTTGTGGTTTCCACTTTCTCTGGATTTCTGGGGCTGGAGGTCGTCCCTGGGGGTGCTGGTGCAGGCACCCTGGGGCTGGGGGTCCCTGTCCACAGGGGTTCCCACTGATGCTGTTCCCGGAACTGGGCACTGCTCGTGTTCCTGGGCTGCTGTAGAGAGGTGTCCCCAAGAGCAAAGCTGTCACCAGCAGAGAGGGGGCTCTGACAGCAGCGACCCCTGGAGCGATGCCACCAAAGCAGGCAGGAAACCTTCGGCCACCCTTCCTGCTGGAGCCACAGGGACTCCTGGGCCGAGCCGGTGTCAGGCCACAGGGATACGAAATCCACATTCATGCTCTGAAGGTCATGACAGCCTCGAGAGTTGCTGGAGCCAGGATCTGGGGGGCAGCTTTTGCAGCTGCAGGGGCCTGTTAAAGGCTTGGAGCCCTCAAAGGCTCTGGCCTTTGCTTCTCCCCCCTGCTTTGCACTGCCCCCGGATTGTTCAAGAGAAAAAAGCCAAGCGAGGGGATCCTTGCCCTGCCCGCAGTGGTCACTGGGCCCTGTGCCCCACTCGGGTGAGGCCTGGAGGGCTCAGCGCTGACAGCGCTGGGCCGGGGCCGGGGGCTTTGGGCCCCGCGGGTGCCGGTGCCCGCAGTGGCTGCAGGGTCGCTGTGGGAGCGCTGGGTGCTGGCACCGAGCCCCGGCGGGGTGCGATGTGGCAGGCCAGGGCTGCGGGCTCCCACGGCAGCCGAGGCCGCTCCGCAGCGAGCCCGTGGCCCAGCAGGTGCCCGAACTCGGCCCCTTCCCAGGCAGCTTCCCCCGGGCCCCGCGCTCCCCCCGGGGCAGGCAGGAGCTCCGCGGCAGCCCCTGCCCGGAGCAGCGGGGCCGGCAGCAGCGGGGCAGCCCCGGGGGCTCGGCCCGGCAGCGCTGGAGGCTCCGGGGGCAGCACCGGGGCCTCGGCCCGGCCGCTCTGGAGGCTCCGGGGGCTCGGCCCGGCCGGCGCTGGACGCTCCGGGGGCTCGGCCCGGCCGGCGATGGAGGCTCCGGGCTGCCCTGGCTACGCTGCCGCTGCCCTCCCCGCAGCCCCGCTCGGCCTTCGCTGCTGGGAGCAGAGCCCGGGCCGCGCACCCGGCGCCCTCCTGCCTTGGCTGCTCCGCTCCACGGCCCCTGCCCGGCCCGTCCTGCCCGCTCCGCTGCGCACCCACAGCCGGGCCAGCCCCGCACCTCCGGCTGCTGCAGCACCAAAACCCCGCTGCTGCCGCTGCTCCGCTCCCACCTCGCCGGGGCACTCGGCCCGCAGCTTCCACAGGGTTTGCAGTTTCCTTAGTAAGACTTTACAAACACCCTGTGCCCCACCGTGAGAGAGACAGGTAAAGAGACAGTAAAGCAGGACCCTCATTGACTCTGCTCAGCCCGTGACAGCCTTTGGAATTGTGTTACAAAAGTTTGAAATCATTGATGGCTGGAGAGGAGATGTGTGTGTGATGTTTTGAGTGTCGCCAACAGACCCAGCCTGGCATGTGCATCTTTGGACTTCAGTTTTTACCAGTGCAGCTTTGGGAGTGGGATGAGTAAATTCATGTATGATGCTCAGATCCTGCAGTGACAAAACTGAGAGATTTTAGATTATTTAAATGCTGCCATTGGATACTTTTTTTTTTTCCTTCTGTCTGCTCTACCAGCAGGGATTAGTTCAGACATTTCCTGCTGTCAGGGAGGTG